GTCATCTCTACTACACTCTTTCCCCACTAGTGCGTCTCAACATAGCTTCCAAAATTTTTTGAACTTATTTGGAATGTTTACGGTCTTGCATATTTTGTTTGCCCTGTAATGACATTCTAACAAAATCCCAAACTTAACCTAACAAAAAACATTTAAAATCCGTACGCACATAGTTTCAACCACTTGCCTGTCTCCTTCATAATTAGCAACTACTAACATAACAACAAAGTAATAGAAACAAATTGTGAAACAGAATTCTGGAGATTTTCGAGATTTAGATCTAATTTTTTTAAGAACAGTGTAATATAAAGAGCCTCTAAGTTTCGATTGATTCGAATATGTCGAAAACAATATCRTCACATGAAAATTTTTTAGTGGAAAAGATTTAATTTTCTTACTAAACGGTCTAGATATTCCATTTTATCACTTTCTAAACCAAAGTAGAATATAGAAGAGACATGTGTAAGAATTAACTTTTACTTCAGATTGCGAAGAAATTTGCGCGAACCGACAAATATAAGACATCGACTTTTACAAGTCTTACAACTCTTGAACCGCAATGGATGTACTTGAGGTCTTTTGTGTCAATTTCTATATGTATTCTGCAGGGATCTTGAAACAAAATGAAAAAAAAAGTCGCTGGTGGAAAGAACGATGAATGTAGAAGTAATTCGAAGAGCAATTCGTGCAATATGACGTTCGTTTAAATTGACTTATAACTCAGTTGTCTGCTAAATTTTTTTGCCTAGACAGACATACTTTTATATGCCTTATGTCCAGCAAATTCTATTGATATATTTAGAGTGACATGTATCCAAATCGCTCTCATTTTATGCTCATCCAAACCAATTTTTCTAATGTTTTAAGTCAAAAGCGATTATTTTTTGACATTCTCTATAGTGCATCACTCTAGAGGACACTCTTTGGTGTCTAAATCTCGAAAATTTTCTACCCACTTACTACAACTGAATATAAACTTCATTCAAACAAACATATCTAATACATTAATTCTAATAAAAAAACAATATCTAAAATAACAATGACAGAAAAACCTACCATTAATGTATTTACCTTTGTACTATAGAACCCCAGGCAGCTAAACAGACACATAACATTAACAAAAGCTGTACAGTCACATACCTGAATATTTATCCTAAATATTTTTGAACAACTTTTTCAAAACACTTCATATGCTTGTTTTCCTATCTCCTGAAAGTGTACAGTCCTACTTTTGGCTTTAGTTATCAATGTAGTTAWTCAAATATCTGCATTAACACCCCAAAGCCCCTGATACATATAAATAATATATATATATATCTTACTACACACCGAAAGTCGCTTACAGTCTACTATCCACTTCATACCAACAAGTAATTGCCGCATATTTTGGACACAATTTTTTCAGCTGATCTATATGTCCATCCTCACAAGCAYATAAACATTGAAACTTAATAGAGAAACAACTCCTCTCACTAAAAACCAGACTCATGCTGTAATTTAACATTTTATTAACAGTTAGAGTTGTACGCCACAATAACATTGAGCTCGAACTAATATACCATACTTAAGATAATGAAATATGCTATTAACACTTACATACATACTGGCATACCCTTACTTTCCCCCCAGTCCATAGAACGCTTACAAACTAATTGCCACATCCTTTTGAGTAGCGCAATTAACTCAATTGCAATGAAAATGTTCCGCACACACACATACAAACGCATTATAGAAAAGTCGTTGGCATGCGTCCTGTTAGCACCACCGCTGTCCTCGTCGCCCGTGAAAGATGTGAATGTGAATGTGTTTTGTATATACAGCTTCGGTAGTTAGCTGCTTATTTTGCTTAGCGCAGAAATAATAGTTTAATTTATTTTTAAAAAATATTTTTTTTAATTTTTTAAGCGCGTAGTAAGTACTTTTTAGTATTTTTTAGATATAATATTATACAAAAAAATATATCGCATGCGATTTTTTGTATTTGCATGCAACATATGTTGTATATGAATATCTTTGTACTTTTTTCCAACACAAATTTGTATACTCTCACAATATTTTGTTACAAACAATAATAGTTTTGTGCACCTAACATTTGTTTGTATCAGCTTAAAGTTATCGAAATAGATAGGGAATTTTTTTACAAGCAAATGATCAGAATAAGGAGACAAGTTGAAATCCGTCTGTCTGTTCGTTCGTCTGTCCGTGAACTGATAACGCGAGTAAAACTTGAGATATTTTGCTGAAATTTGGTATAAACGCTTCTTTGCACCCAAAGTTAGYAAGTGGTGGGTATTGCAGATGGGCATAATCGGATCATCGTCACGCCCACAAAAAGCCATTAATCGTAAAGAGCTAAAACTAAAAACTACCTTAAGATACAAAACTGTAAGCTTATCACATTAGCCAACCCTGTGCACCTTTTTTTTAAAAGTGAGTGTGGTCTTGGCCTATAATATCTATATCTACTAAATCGCTGAAGCTAAATATGGAAACGGATCAAATCAGGTAATAACCACGCCCATTTGTCATATAACGATTAAAACCGACTCAAAACTTTGCACAAACAGTGCACTTATATCCAGAAATCGTCGATATCGCATTAAAATTGATTTCGGCAAGATTTTTGATCCGCTTTTTTTAATGTTTACAAATTGCGAGAGTATAAAATGTTCGGTTACATTCGAACTTCGCCCTTCCTTTCATGTTTTAATACACTTTTGTCACAGCACATTTATTGTCTGCATGCATTTTCGAAATTTTGTAATTTTTGTGTGTCCTTATATCTCATGGCACATTTTATAAATACTGGATATTAATTTTTTTTCTTATTAATATTTACAACTTAATACTTATACTTTTTCAAAACTACTGCTATAGCATAGCGTTTAATTCAAAACATTTGAACGTGAACAATTTTATTAACAAATACTGATAATTTCGTATTTAWTAACTCCTGTTCGCAGACTGTGCTTCTCGAAACTGAAACTATTGCTAGTAGCTATCGAAATCAAAGGTGCCGAAGAGGGCGCGGATAGCAAAATATCGATAAATCCGCGTAATGCCAAAATACAGGCGAATACACAAGGCTTCTTTATAGCGCAGAGCGCCGATGAAGTGAAACGGTAAGTAAAAGTTTATTGTTTTTTTTTTATCAGAGTTGTAAGGACTTAGATGTTGAATATTATTTTTTATTATTAATTAAAGTATTTTGAAGAGTATAAAAGCAGTAATAAAAGTCACCAATTATACAACGTAATGAAATTTATAATATTTTTAAGGGGACACCTAGTTTGGCATCGAAAAAAGTGTAGATTTTTGTGAATTGAAAAAATTCTTTATCGATTGTTTTGAAATTTCCAGKATAGATTTATACATGTTTTATGAATACACAGTGGAATTATTGAAAAACCAAAATTATATGAAGCAACGTCGTCCACTAAAAGATATTTTCCATATACATAATAACTATRAAAAATAATTAAATAATTCAATTTGCAAATGCAAACCAAAATGTAATAATGTAATTATTATAACCCAACAAACGACGCAAAAATTTCAAATCTAAGATTTAAAATACGTTATAAGCAAAAGTAACGATTTTATTTATTGAGAGACAGCAATATAGTTCTTTTAATAGGAATCAGTAAAATCAAATGTGCAGGATCCGTTGAGTTTCAAATTTGATCTGCAAGATTTTAACCGTAAGGGTCTAAACACCCTCGAAAAGCGAGCCTGGACATTGAATTTAACTTTAAACAGGAGAAAAAAACTACCAACTGTTACATTCCGGTTTTTTGCTAAGAACACAATACCATGCATTTTAAACTACTTGCTTAAACTACTTCTTGATTTAACTTAGAATTCTATCGGAAATGCTCTAAGGAGAAAAGTAGATATTTTTGTATCGACTCTAACTTGTCAGAATGGATTGAATAACTAGAGTTCTACACAATAGAGACATATCCCAATATAGATCTAATCAAAATTGTAACAAATGTTTTAGAAACATACGGTTGGCTAAGTTCCTTAGATCAACGTATAACAAAGCTGATCATCAATATAAGGTATGAATATAAAAATTAAAATTCGTTAAACAAAGTTAAAAATTTGCTCTGATAAATAGTCTTTTATTACATAAGGAGTGGGGAAAGATCTACAAAAAATAATAAATTGTAAAAGAGTTACAATGGACATTAAGCCCAATTTTAATTTTTATATTGATACCTTATTCTTGGAAGCAAAAGGTATTTTCAGCTTCAGAACTAATGTTTTACAAGTTTTGGTTGCACTTTAGACCTCAAATAACTTTTAAACAAGTCGACTTGAAAAAAAATCAAATTAGACATTTTAGTAGATCTTTTTATTCTCTAAATTAAATGCATTACATTTTTCGCCGTTTTCACTAGACAAAAATTTCTTCAAATACATTAAACAGCCAAACAAAATGAGAAAATATTCCTGAAATCAAAAATTAYTTTGACCAAACTTTACCATATTGTTTTTTCATTTCGGACAATATTTCTACGGCACTCCCCCTAGTATATCCATCCATAATATTCTTACCACTTTCAAAAACAAATTTTTTAAAATCATTAAAAAATTTAACATTTCAGCGCCTGGTTCTACTGCAAGGCCTGCCATGAGGACATCAAAGACGAAACATTGATCAAGAAGTGTAAATGCAAAAACTGTAAGTAAACCTTCCATAACTATACGAATATAATGTCTTAAATCATTTGTATAAAATATTTATTTAGTTTTATTTTTATATGCAAAATAAACATTAATTTCGAATAATTTTGATTCTCTAGTAAGAATTTTTGAATTTGGTTTTTCAATTTAATTTCAACTACTATCTATAAAATATATTAAGCAACACGAAAATATTGAGACCAATACATATTGATAAATAACATAAAAATTATAAAAAATGTAATTCTGCGTGTTATTGTGCTGTGAAGTTGTAAAGCAGTGCTAAACGAATAATATAATATGGGTATTATTTCTTAAATTGAAGATTATACTCAATACGTTAATAATATATTAAAGTCTTTATAATTTATGGAAACGAAAAATTTGAGGTATTAAAAATACTAATAATGTTACTTTAAATCTATCTCTATTTGCTAGTTAGTAGTACTTATATAATATATATATACTATACTTTTAATATTATCTCTAAATGCCTATAAAAATAATTATTATATATTTACTATAAAAATACTCAAAACACTTATATAAGGCTATCTTATGATATTTACACTCAGACTTATATGTACATATAATTTAATTTTTTTTAGAAATATTTATTTATTTTAAGGCAATAAATACTAATATTTTTTTGGAGAAATTCATATAATTTTTTTATTTTGTAATATATATGCTCATAATAACGGTGTATACGTGCTAAAAAAACCAACAAAACATACCCTGTGCGTTATGCCTATCGTAAAACACTCTGTGTTGTCGTTACATAACTCAAATTTAATAATTTGATATTACACTGCCTTTATGTTATTTAAAGCTATTGAATTAGGAATGTTTATGAATATATTTACATTTATATAATGGTATTTCCAAAAATTTACAACTCATGAACCAAAACAATACGCATCTCCCGAACAGTGGCAGTACAGCCGAGGACCAAATTTGATGATTTAGGTAAATTATTTTTAAACCAGTTGAATTAAAGTGTGTTATAATGACTATGAATTTTCAAAATGTATATTTTAATTAATAAACTAAATAAGAGAAAAAAGAATGCAAAATTATACACCCAAGAACCAACACCAAATTTAATAAAATACACAAAATATCTTTTAAGAAAAATTTAAAAATTTTAAACACGCAATTTGCCTGAAATAAGGCCTTACATTGCGATTTCAATTCAAACTTTAAATTTAATTTATTTTATTTTTGTTTCAAACACTTAAAACTTCTAGTAAACAAACCAAGAGCCACCCATTCCAGTAACCATGAGCGTTATTATTTGGTTTTTTTATTTTTTGTTTATTAATGCTAAATAATATTCGTAATTCGAATTTTTATTTATTTTTTTCAC